TGAGATAAGTCAACGAACTTCTCATGTCGTTAAGGAATATGCAACCCATCCCCACATGGGATAAGCCATAAGCCCCGCCTCCCCTGCATTTTGAGATACGAAAACATGTGTTTTTGACCTTTGCTGAATAGAAAGAATGCATGCGCATATGTTGAGACCACATCACGTCACCCGGCCTCAAGCAGGTCAAAGTTATCAATCATTGCCTGCCTGCTTACTTCCTTGTCTTTCAGCCTTCGGTTCAGTTGATGGACAAAAGACTGGTGGTGATCGGCTCGGACGGGCTAGAATTTGGCCCAGGTACAAGAATTTTGGAACCCCAGACAGGTCAAGAACTGGGCTTCTATCACACTCTGTGTCTTTGGGCTTAGAATGGTTCAACAATGGCGTTTTGTCATATATTCAGGATTCTATTTTTAGGACATTAGTTCTCTGGTTGGCTAGTCTTTCTTCACCTGGTATTTGTCTTCTGCAGTCTGCTGCAACCAATATCTCAAAATAAATAAAAATTGTTAAGGCAAACAACAGGTAGAGGTTACGAAAATTGTTCTGATAGACAAATTTGCAGAGCGTTACCAGGATTCTAACCCGTGTGGAGTATTTCATAAAACTAAAAGAAACCCCTTTTTTTAGCAACGTCAAAAACTAAGTGGACGTGGGAAATTAAGGAGATCAAACCAGACCAAACAAAATATATCTGAATGCATGCCATTGCGTTGCAGGGCATGCTCCATGCAATCCTCAAAATGACTCTTCACCGTTGTTCAAAAATGGGCAAACTTCTTTCCTCTCTCAAAATGGGAAATTGAAAATTAAAGAAGGAAATCTCTAAAATTCCCCAAATATCTCCAAAAATCTAGCTATCTCTATCTTCCCTTGATGTTTCCTTTTAGTTGTTTCTTGAGGACAGGCCGTCCTTTTTTCTCTTCCTTACAATTTGCAGCCAATTCTCTCATTCATCCTTAACCATCAAACAAGTTTTCTACCAACCTCTCCTTTAAACCCTTTTTTGTTTTGGGAGGTCTTTAATCAGTTCTTATTTTTCTTCCTTACTTTTTTGTCTGAATGGCTGCTCTATCTTTCATCCTCTAACCTTGAAGTCAACCCCCACAAGAACCCCCGAAGAAGGCACAGGATGGCCTCGTGGAGAACCTCGACCTCTATAGCCTCACTCCTTGGCCTCCTGTCCTTTCTACTCCTCCACTGCAGCACCACCTCTACCGCCATTCGTGTCAGCACCATCATCCACAACCCTTCCCCAATGAAGCTTCCCATTTTCCGGGAGGCCCCGGCTTTCCGAAATGGTGACTCGTGTGGATCAGAGGAGGCTGACAGGATACACATTGCTATGACCCTTGATGCGAATTACCTCCGTGGCACAATGGCGGCGGTTCTATCCATGTTACAGCACTCAACTTGCCCAGAAAACTTGTCATTCCATTTCCTTTGCGCACATTCAGATAGTGAGCTCGTTTCAAGCATAACATCAACCTTCCCTTACCTGAATTTCACAATCTATCGTTTCGACTCAAACCGAGTTCGTGGGAAGATATCCAAGTCAATTCGACAGGCTTTGGACCAACCTTTGAACTACGCCAGGATTTATCTAGCTGATATATTACCAGCCGACGTGAAAAGGGTGATTTACTGGACTCGGACCTCGTTGTTGTCGATGATATAGGGAAGCTTTGGGTGTGGATATGGAAGACAAGGTGCTAGCAGCCCGAATACTGCCATGCAAACTTTACTCTATATTTCAACGATGCTTTCTGGTCTGACCCGGTGCTGTCAAAGACATTCCAAGGAAGGAACCCATGTTACTTCAACACGGGAGTAATGGTGGTGGATGTAGAGAGATGGAGAAGAGGAGGGTACACGAAGAAAGTTGAACAATGGATGGCGTTTCAGAAGCAGAAGAGGATATACCACTTGGGTCTCTGCCACCATTTTTGCTTGTGTTGGCCGGAAACATCAAGGCAGTGAACCATAGGTGGAACCAGCACGGATTGGGCGGAGACAACTTCGAAGGAAAATGTAGGAACCTCCACCCTGGTCCAATTAGCCTTCTCCATTGGAGCGGGAAAGGCAAACCTTGGCTTAGGCTAGATTCCAGGAAGCCATGCGTGGTTGATCATTTATGGGCTCCGTACGATCTTTACCGTTCATCAAGGCATTTTTTAGAAGACTGACAGAAAGGGAGAAAGTAAAAGTGTTAGAGAGATGTAAAACTATAAACATACATACATACATATATGTCTTGAGAGATGGAAAAGGATAGGAGAGGAGGACCAAAGCAGGTTTGAACACATTTAGATTTTGTAAAGAAGCAATGAAAAGTTTTATGTGACAGTAGCAGCAGTAATTAACTTGTAGTTGTTTATAGAGTTTGTGTATGAGTTAGAAGTCATTAAATTCTTGTCAATCACCAAAATCTTTGTTAGATATGTAATATGAAATACTAATTAAATTTTTAAAGTAAAATAACAAATTCTTGAACTTGTAGTAATTACATAATACAACAAAACAAAAGTTGTAGCATTTTCAGTTGGGGTAGCCGCTTGCATTGCCTGCCCCTGTTTTAAAAGTCCGTCTCTGTTGGTGAGCTGTATTGTATGCTTTTCGTTACACTTTTGCAGATACAGCAGATGGGCACTTCCCCAACGTATTCCACAAGATATAGTCCCCGGAAGTAATCTGTTAAAAGTTAAACCCATAATGTGTAATGAAAACATGAAGATACCATGTATTAGACTCATCGTTGTCAACCCTTTCAAAAGGAATGTGAAGCTAATTCTATCAAAATTTAAATACGTTTCGAGCTCATTGTACCTGAGTCGATAATTCCACAGGTGCTTTTACTGCAGGATAGATGCTTACCTATGTACAGCACGACAAAATATAAGAAAGCTAGCAACTTCAGTATAATAAAAACATTTCCATTCATGTTCGTGTTAGTTGTTACAGCATGCAGTGTTGTTGAACTGGAGCCAATCATGGGAGGCAAGTTGGAGGATGTAGACTTACTGATTTGGGATCAATCGACATTCCAGATAATGATACCCCAAAGATCTTGAAAGATACCTGTAACCATGAATGAGGATCAGGGACATGCACTATTGACTGTCAATCGCCACTCTACAATATCCAACAAATATATGTTCTATCTTTTTTTATCCTTTTAGGGCCCTTTTTTTTTTAGGTAGGAGATGCAATCAGTCTTTAGCAACCCCTTGATTGCTGTCATACCAAACCTTACTCACAAAGGAACCAATATTAGAAGAAGGGGTCACGACAGAAAGCCTGCAGAAGATGGATCCTTAATGAGCCAGCTCTATAGAGCTATAGGCATTCTCTTGAGAGGCTTAAGCCATAGCCTTACTCAAGCCATACCAAGCTAAGAGTTCAAACCTACGACTTTCTAGCCACTTGCACATTTACCACTAGGCCAAAGGGATTCAGTGGTTCAAAAGAAAAGGTTCAATTATGTTTTACAGGCCACACCTGTTCCCCTTTTCTTTTAGGTAAGAAAAGAAGTCTGCAGATGACAAATTAGCAACAAACAGAGAAACTTCAGGTAATTTGCAGAAGTCAAGAAAACAACCAAAAGGATAAAAGGTTCAAGACAAAAGAACATACTTTCGCATAATTGTACGCCTGCCAGCTAAATGGCTCCTCTAGATCAACTGGAGGAAGATCCTTACTCATTTTCTCCATCAAGAACTCCTCTACATTTACCATATTGTTAGTACCCTCTGTCTCATTATCACTATCATCATCCGCTGTGCCTTCAAAGACTGACCTAAAGGAACTTAATCTTTGTGTCTGCCATGGTGCAAACCTAACTGTTCCAGGGAAAGTTGCCTCAATACTTTTCCCAGAAAGTCCTCGACCACTTGTTATAATTTTCCATTCGACAGAATGCTCAGCATTTGAAACTGTTCCAATCGATGGAGTCCCATCGAAAGATAAAATCCTTCTTCTAGGAAAAGGCATAGTCACATTACAGAACTCCATTGTCAAAGGGGACTTATAACTTTCCATTAGACGCAATTTGAACAAAAATGCACCTTCATCCTCAGAGACCATAGACAATTGATAGAATCCCTTTACAGGAGGTCCAAGGCCACATGCTGCCTGATAACGCATCAAAACAAAATTACCCAAAGGCGGTGAGAACATCAGAGCCTGCTTATCCACATTTTGTTCTGGAACCTGAGCACAGGGATGGAATGATAAAGCCTCAATCTTGGCTGCGGTCAACCCTGTCAAGGGGAATGACACATCAGGCAGTCCTTCCAATTCTGCTCGACAGTTTATCTGCCCAGAGACTGATAATCTATCAGGAATCTCATCTCGATCATACATGGCAGCATGAAGGGTTTCATGAATGGTGAATAGCAGTCTCTGCTTTCCTTTGTACAGATAAGGCTTCCATGCCGGTTGCTTGAGGTCCTGGGGAGGAATATCTAATGAAGAAAAGCCATTAACCTTGATAGAAAAAATATTGGAATAGCTGAGGTCCATGGGTGTTCCTGTATAAAAGATAAACATTCATTATTAAATAGTTTTGGCAAATTAACCATAAGCAAAAGAAAAAATATACAAGGACATCTGTGGTGAGAAATACCATAATGAAAAAGTACCAACCAAAAGGCATTGCGCTACTTATGAAACTTCTAAGTGCATCTTTATCCAAAAGCCTTGAACCAATTTTTGGAACATCAGATGCAAGAGCTCCTATCGCAGCAACGCCAGAGGGTGTAGAAGATGCAACAGGTGCAGCTACTGGTTTTGCCCTTGAAGAGATACCTGATATCCCAATACTTCCAGTTAGTGAATCTAACAACCCACCTACTGATGGTGATGCACTTACAACCACCTCAGGTTCTACTACATCCCCAGTAACTATGTCACCAATGGCATGGGCCACCATGAATGCCCTGCAGCATAAGAAAAAGAAGCACTAAAACAATCAGCTACCTCCCTTTTTTCCTAGTAACAGAGAGGATACAAAATTGCGTAATGAACAGAAAAATAATGAACCATTTCACAATAACTGAATTAAGAGAAAAAATTTTAGACAAGTTTTGTTTCATTTGAAGTGTGAAGCAGTTCTACTACAAACTCAAAGCACACAACAAGCTGAACACCAGATTTAGTCACAACTGCAACAGAAGAAATTACATGACAGGCAAATTCTCATACCTTTCTATTCTATATATGACACGTCATTAAATGAACTGAGAACATGCAGGACAAAATAATTTCACATTCCTTCATGGCTATTTTCAAAATAAAACATGCATACGGTGATAAAAACAAGAAAATATAGGAAATGACTATGCAAAGCCAGCTTAAAAAGGAAAAGGAACAAACAGAATAGCTAAGTTCTTCAAAGAGGAAAAGGAAGATAAAGAAAGATTTATAAGAGATGATTTTATTTTTAAAAAAATGTGGAGATAATCTGCTGGCACTATGTTTTCTGACTAATATTGCAAGTAACTTACCATACCCTGTGATGGATGGAAGATCAAGGAGCAGAGAAGATAAATGTTCGTCGGTCATGACAGCATTTCCACAATCAGATCTTTGACACAACTTTGCATAAGCCTTTACATGCCTGGGCTCAACTAAAGGCAGTATGAGGATGCAATAAGGACCCTTTATGTGCAATGCTAAGGGCCACAATAGATTATTCTCTCTTTCCTCCCCTTTGTTTATGTAAACGCCTATAATATGACGCGTAATTGGATCATCAACCCATGAATCAGATCCTTCTCCTGACTGCGTTACGCGTATACCAAATCCACGGACAGACCCCTCCCTACAATTGGCAGCAAAACAAGTCAAAATTAACAAAGCGCAGATATTAGAATCGAAGTTAAATTTGGAAATGCAAGTAAAATTGTTTACACAGGATATATCATATGGCTATTGGGTGGAAATTTTAGGCACTTGCTGGTTGTTACTTTTATAATACTTTGCTTTCGAATCGAAACGCATCGTTTTGGTTATTACTACGAGAAGAAAAAGGTAAGTACTGAAAGTAACATAAAAATCGAGCCTCAACAATAACGATTTCGTTAATTTAAGCAACTATTTAATTTCATAGTAAATTAGTATGGCCACAATAATAATAACAGTCATATGCAATTTAAGCAGTAAAAGAAGTAATCAATAATAAAAGTTAAGTTCATGTCATTAATAAAAGAGATTCGTAAAGGGACACTAGGAGATTAGCTAACCTTCCCTTTCTCTCAAAGAAAGCTGCAGCTAACTCTGAATCGGAGGGAAGCGAAGAAAATATAGTGTGCTTAACAGGACTATCGACGGAGCTCTCTTTTTCACTCTGGAAAGCAGCTCGCCACCGCTTCTCCACCACCGGAAACCTCCTGAACATTTAAACCAAATCAAATCAAATTTAGATTATCTTTTTCCTTATCGAAATTATTTGGATCTTAAGCACTTCTCCTTAGTAATATCGAGCTCCATTTTCAAATCTCAAAGCAAAAAAAGAAGAAAAAAGAAGAAAATAAATCCCTAAAGACTATTCGTACAAATGAGAGATTTGAAATGAAAAGGTGGATTAAACCTGGAGAAAACGACGGCGTCGAAACTGTTGAGGATCCACAGAGCTCTGATACTGCAATCGTTAGGCATGGCTTTGTTCTTTTACCTTTTTTTTTTTGAGAGAGAGAGAGAGAGAGTTGAAGACGGGAAAGTGAAGTTGCCGAGAAAAAGAGCCAAGCAAGGCGTTGGTTCTTTTTCGGAGTCTGGAAACCGTCCGATGCTTATTACCAAAACGCATCGTTTCGTTTCATTAAACGACGTAGTATTTTATAATCGAGACAGGACCACGACAGGAGTCCTAACCAATGTCATCACTTTAATCGAAAAAGTTTTCTAATATTTCTTTCCCCTTCAAATCTACCACCATTTAATTATTTTAATATAATATTTTAAATTTTTTTTAAATTATTGAATAAAATAATTTTTATATTTTTATTTTAAATTAAATAAATTTTATAATAAAAAATAATTATCCATCATTAATTAAAACATCAACAGTTATTTTTATTTCACATGAAACTATCTTATAAGATAAAAATGACATATAACAATATTATCATATCATGTTAAACATATCATATCATCATCCGCTATAATATATCAATATGTCATATTAATATCTTATAATATAAATTAATAGATAATATTATTTTAAATAATAATAATTAATTAACTATTTAATTTAATATAATAAAAAATAAAAATTTATTTGAAATTTTGTATATCATGTCAAACTATGTTTGATAACTTCTTAGTCCAATTCATTATAGTTTTTTTCTTTTATACTAAAATGAATGTCTTGCAGATGTCAACAATGTGTCATGGGATTAATACGTGGGTGAGATTCAAAATAAGTAGTAATATTCTTCCATATTATACAAAAAGATTTAGCATGAAAACTTGACAATATTTTGAAGGAAAATACAGAAAGAAAACTTGAAAAGCATTCTTTAACCTAAGATTTCTATAACTAAAATGTACATGTTTTATTAAAGAAAATGCCATACAACAAGAACCTTGATATTATTTCAAAAAAACAAAGAACCTTGATACATGGAAAGTGACTTGGAAAAGGCGAAAAAGAAAAACCATTAAATAAGCAGGAAAGGCATGTACAGTAAAACTTGAATCCTCTTCATGTCATGTTAGCTGTTTGAAACGTGGTCAGCTTGATTTGCACAACTCGATGTTCTAAACTACAGGTCCACGCAGAGATAGGAGAGGACTGAGCCCGCTCTTCTTTTGGTTCTAGGGCTAACCTTCCATTTCTCGACCAGGACCTTCTTTATGCTGGGGCAACTAGAAACCACGGTGGCAACTCCTGCGGCGGTTATGCTAGGGCAGTAGACCATGTGGCAGGACTCAAGCATTTGACAATTTTTTACGAGGTGGGAAAGACCAATGTCGGTTATTTGGTGGCAATGTGAGAGGACTAAGTCCTTGAGTAAGGGGCAACCTTCACCTAACTCAGCCAATGCCATATCTCCCAAATTCTGCCATAAAGGAATCAATAAGCAAGTACTAACAAGGAATTGCAAGCCAAAGAAACCAACAATCGGATTGAGGGGGAGGCCATAGCATCAGAAGATGCAGTACACGGACCAGGGTATACAAACAACGTAAAACAGAAGTACATGCACAAGGAGAAGCAAAGACAAGGTGAGGGAGGGGGAGGACACACCTGGAGAACACTCACATCTAGGTAAGAGAGTTGAGGGCATCCTCTTGCAATGGCTACAATTCCAGCATCACCAATTTGGTTGCAGCCGCTGACATTTAGATGTTGTAAGGGGCATCCCTGGCCAATGGCAATAAGAGCCTCATCCCGCACCCTAGTAGTAAAAAAGCTAAGCTAAGCTAAGACAAAATGCAAGTAGGTGCCCCAAATTTCAGACAAAACAAAAATTTCACTAACAGCTGAAAACATGTAGCAGCATGGACAAATAGCATTATCACACAAACTAAGCAGGAAGGAAAGTACAATGAGACACACCTATCACAAAATCGGAGACTAAGATCCGTGAGAGAGTGACAATTCTCACCAACTGCTATGATTCCCTTGTTTCCAACCTATTGACAATGAAAAGCATACAAGTTAAGGATTTATATCACAATTTTTTCAATTGCTGAAACTGAAAAAACAAACAACTGAAAATGAATCCAAAAGAAACCAGCAAGTCTACACAAGATGGAGACTCAAAAGATGAAGCATTACAATATCTGTAAAATCCTAGCCTAAAACATTTCTGAGAATATTTTGAATCAAAACTAAATTCTTTAAATAATGAACCACCTAATTGCCATGTTACATAGAAAAGAAAAGCATCGTGCATCTAGTAGTGGTTCAGGCAAATTGTCAGCGGAGGAATAACTCCATCAGGAGAGAGACAGAGAGAGAGAGAGAGACCTCATAACATCTCCTAATATGGAGTTTCTTCAAATTTCTGCAACCATATGCTATACTGCAAATTGCTTCATCTCCAATGCTAGAGCAATCTACCAAGTGAAGAGCTTGCAAGTATTTACAGCCCCTTCCAACTTCATAAAGAGCAAAGTTACCAATTCTTTGGCAGTATAATAAAGCCAACTCAGTAAGGCGCCTGCACAAAATCAAGAGCTTCAGAATTGACATAGTTCAAAATTTTCAAGAAAATTATAGACAGTTGGAAATGTTCATTAACCACAGTGTGCAAGTCCAAAAATGCCCAACCATAGGGATTGGGTATGAGCCCTAGCTCCTGCTAAAGCCTGGAACTCTTGCCTTCTTAAAAAGTAGCAGGGGAGAAAAGTAAAAGAGGAGCATACGGGCAATATTTCCCAACAGACTCCAATCCAATGGTTCCAATATTGTGACAGCCATTAACTTCAAGATGCGTAAGTTCAGTGCAACCAGTGGCAATTGCCTCCAGACCCTTGTCACTCAGGAAATAACAATCACTCAGAGTAAGATTTTTTAGCTTCTTGCACCCTTTCCCAACTGCACGAAGACCCCTGAAACATAAATCAAAATTATATTCAACAATCATATCATGAATCACTAAACATAATCCATAGACCTTAGAATCAGACAACAAAACTTTGGAAAAGCTCCACTTTTTTTCCAAAAGATAAAATTAGAGGGGCGAAAAACAAACTGGTCACATTGACGTATGATATCCAATTCAATTAGGGTAATATTTCTATCATCTTGCATACGAAATCCAAGAAGAGTAATTAACTTGTCTGTAAATTGCTGGAAACTGTACAAGGCCAACATTTCCAATGACAAACAAGAAACTCCCACAGCTGTCAGAGCCTCATCTGTGACATTAATACATTGTAACTTCAAGACTTTTAAAAGAGGACATCCTTGGGCAATAGCTAGGATCCCTTTATTGCGGATAGACTCGGAATCTAATGACAAGGTCCCAAGAGATTTGCAGCAAGACCCCACAGCTTCCAATGATCTATCAGTTATTCTGGCACAAGCAGCCACACCAAGAGATTTCAATGATTTCCCACAACCAGTGGCCAAATCAACCAATCCTGCATCAGTCAAGCTTTCACAGAAACGCAAATTTAGGTCCTCAAGTTGCTTGCAACACTTGCCAACAACAGCTAGACCTTGATCTCCAACATAGCAACCCTAGAGAAAAACATCATAATCAACTGAAGTTTATGTAGTGCATTGCTTACTGAACATGACTAGCAGAAATTCATAGAATATGGTTCTTCAGTTTAAGTATTACCGACTGAGGATGGACACTTGACAGCAGAATATATACATCACTAAGTAGTAGAGATAATTTGTTGTAACAATAAGCCATGAACAACCAAAATGAGCTACAAGATAACGTATATCACCACACAGTCTCTGCTACAACGCAATGAAAAGTTACCTGCAAATCCAAAGATTTCAAGAAATAACATTTCTGTGCAAGGGACATTATACCCAAACTTGTAACATTAGAGCACCAGATTAAGCTCAACTTTTCTAGTTTAGAAAAGCCTTCGGCAACTGCAGTCAGACCAGCATCCGTCAAACAGAATGATTCACACACCTCTTCTTCGGACCCACTTTTTTCACCTGCATAATGCACCTTGAGAGATGCCATCGCATTCTCATCTCTGCCACGCTTTTTCCCCTGCACCGACAGTTTAAACCACCTCATTAACATGTCCATTTCGTTCCTTCTTGCTTCTGGACGTAAAAGCAAGATAAACCTTTGGATATAAAAGGAAATAATATTTTATAAAATAAATATTAAAAATATAATTATTTTTTCATAGCAAAAATAAATGATGTTCCTTTTACATGAATTCATTAATTATATTATAATCAATATTGCGTTTCAGTCATTTGTTTTTAGGGTTGAATCAATTATGATTTTTTATTTCAATCAAACAAAGGATTAAAGATAGTAATAATTATCATTTCCAATGCACATAAACTTACGAGTTAAGCAAACAAAATCTCAAATTAATCTCAATTTAACGAATTCGAGGTTTGTTACCACGTTGACAGGTACATAAACGGACAATCTCTCGTCAATGTGGACGGCTTTGACATTGACGAAGCGTTGTGCGAGGAGCTTGACGAATAAGTCGGGGCTTCCCGACGCGTCGATGCGGAGGGTGCTGCGGCTGAGCCTTTCCAGGCCGAGCCACCGTTTACAGACGAGGGAACAGGCGTCGTGGCTGGCTTTGGAGTCCACCCGCCGTAAGATCTCCAGGATCAGCTCGTCGGGAAGACACGTGTTGATCCAATCATGGCCTCGCATCGGGGACTTCCGCGAATTTTTTCCTTCCTTTTTAGGATCTGGAAACGGAAAATTTTTTGTTTTTTTTTGTTTTTAATTTTTTGAACGTAATTTGGAGAAAAGGAAGGAGAAGACTTCGTGCTTTGGGTGTGAGTGACATACCAGCTCTCGCTGTAAATAGTTTGGCAATCGGTTGAGTCGGCGGGCAGCTGGGAAAACACCTTCCTTTTCAATTTATTCCCGGTAATGCCACCCGCCCTTTTTTTTATTATTGTTTGTAATTAAAACGTGTAAGAACTTTAATTTGGCCAAAAAGAGGACGAGTTATTTTTATCCAAAATTGGTTAAATTTGATAAATGAACAACTATAAGATATATAAATGATGGAGTAATAGTTTTAAAACAATAATTATCATAATATTTATATACATATATCATTTACAATAAAACAAATTTACTAATAAAAAAATTTTAATTACTAAATTTAATATTTTATTAGCACATCTATTATTAAAATCCGAATTTAAAAAGTAAGGAGATCTTCTTAGGAATTAATGGATCCAATATTTAATATTTTTTTATAAACAATTGAATATGTTTTTTGAAGTAAAATCACAAAAAAATTTATGGATTTTCCATATCTGTTTTTTAGTTTATGATCTTTTTATATGTTGTTTAATTAGATTTTTTTGGTTTTAATTTATTTTATTGGGTACTTGAACAATGAAAATATGGTATAAATATGTATTTCTTTTTTCTCTTTTTGTTTTTTCAACTTAAAGAATATGAAAAAAAAAGGTGAGAATGCGTATGTTCACAATTAATTTTTTTTATTCATTTGCATTTAAATGGTTAAAATTTGAAGTTTGAACTATAAAGCTTTTATATTAAAATATTGAGGAAAGATAGGATTTATGAAATAATATAAAATTATCCAATGACTTTCACGTGTAAATAACAAAACTTATGATTGTCATATTTCCTTTTCATAGTTTTTATCATTAGATTTGTATTTTAATGTTGAATTCTTTTTTAAAGTTACAATTACAAGTAAAATTTTTAATTATAATCAATTAATTTTCATATGTATCACAAATCACATTAATAAAAAATGCTTAATGAATTAATAAAAAATTAATTAAATTAACGTACGATGAAACTCAAGCTTAAATTTAAAAATAAAATTAAAATGTTCTCACATAGTGAGTTCAAGCTCAAATTTTAAATTACATTATCCTTTCACATTATATTATAAAAATGATATGATTTAAAAATAAATGTATATAATATTTTAAAAATCTTTAAATAATTTTTAAAAATTTAAATAAGTATTTTTATTTTAAATTAAATAGACCATTGTGGCAAACGTAACTATTATTAGAAAAAATGTTATATATCATTTTTATGTCATCTAATGTTACTATAGAAGATAAAAATATAATGTGATTATATTATCATATAATATTGATGTATCATGTTATTATTTATTATAACACGTCAACATATAATGTTAATATCGTAAAATAACGAATAAAATTGATAAATAATATTTTAATTAATTATCATATAATTATATCATTATGTCATACTAATACATTACATTATCGTATATATTACATCATTATCAATATGTCATGTTTTTATCTATTATAACACATTAACATGTAATGTCAATATCGTAAAATAACGAATGAAATTGACAGATGATGTTTTAACTAATTATAATTAGTTATTATGTAAATATATTATCATACGTATTACATCAATATTATAAAATGACAAATAAAACTAGCAAATGATATTTTAATTAATTATAATTAGTCATTAAAATTTATTCGAATTAAAATAAAAACATACAAATTTGATTAAATATAATAAGAAATAAATATTTGTTTAAATGTTTTAATAGTTTAAGAGTTTTTTTAATATTATATCGAATAAAAAAATTATCTTAGAAATCGTGATCAAGTTTAAAAATTTTGTAAACTGATTTATATATTTTTTTTGTGTTCATTTAGATAATCATGTTAAGTTAATTATTCAATAATATCTTTATTTATAATAAAATGAACACATGGTAAATATAAAAATCCTTTTTATAAAATCCATAAAATCAATTGTTGGTATATAATAAGGATGCAGGTAAAATGTTCATTAATAATTTATATTGATTACATTTCTATATTTATAAATTATTTAATAATAATTAAATAGTAACAAAGAACAGATTATTATTATTATTATTATTATTATTTTGCCATAGACTTGCATGTTTCCTTTTTCACTTTTTGAGCAATTTCTGTTGTCCTAAATTCCCATAAATTTCAAGTGAAACAAAAATGTGAAAAGTCTCCATGATCAACAGATCAACCGATTAATTTTGCCTTTTTCTCAATCTACAAATCCTTCATCGAAGCGAAATTGAGAGAATTGAATTTGGGTCATATCATTTGCAATATTTGATCGATCATGTCTTTTTCATTCTTCAAGCCGTCGAGGCCCAAAACCCCGCAAGAGGTAGCCAAGGCGATCAAGGACAGCCTCATGGCACTCGACACCAAAACCGTTGTTGAAGTTAAAGCCCTTGAAAAGGTCTTCTTTTTTCTTTCTGGGGTTTCTTTCTTATGCTCAAATTTGGTACAATTTCATGCATTATTTGAATTCCTTTTTGTTTTGGGATTTCAGTTAACTGGGTGAGTTTCAAATTTGTTATAAAAGTGGAATGATCAAATGGGTTTTAAGAATTATTTTATTTGGTTATGGTTTTGGCATTGATTTTGCTGGTTGTTTTAGATTTTTACATGCTATGTCATTTACTTTGCTGTTCTTCCCATATCTTTAGAGCTTTTGCTTTCCCAACTTGCATGAAATGCTAAAGATTGCCATTAGGATGTCAGTAATGAAAATGTTCGCAAATGTCATTTGTTGTAATAAAAACCAAATGGCTAATGCTTTGTTTCTTTTTTTTTTTTTCCTTTTTGTACATAAGAAAATCCATTGCCCTTTGAGCTACAGCAATGGAGTTAGCTTTCACATTTAAGTCCACTTCAAGATTTGACTCTGAGACCTCCAAGTTGAATGTTTCCAGTTCTAAACCTAGGGGATACAGAAGGCAATGCTTGCTTGGTTTCTGTGCCTGTCAATGTTTGCCCATGGGATCAACACCATTTTAGCCTACTTTTCAGTACATGTTAGGCAAAATGATGTTTCGTCTGAGGATGGATGATTTTTGTTTTAGCAACAAGCAAATGTTGGGGTTTTATTTTCTTACAGGGTTTATGTTCAGAAATGAAATCAAGAACGGCCTGCCGTGGCATTCAAGTACTTTGTTAACTACCCATTTACATTTTCAAAAATTTGGATATCAATAGTTTTGCTTTTATTGTCTTAGGCTATGGAAGAAGTTGAAAAGAATTTTGTGACAATGAGATGCATGCTTTCTGGAGATGGGGAGGTTGAACCCAATGTGGATCAAGTCTTACAGCTGGCACTTGAAATTTCGAAAGAGGGTGTTCTTTCTCTTGTTATTCACAAATTACCCATACTGGGATGGGAGGTAAGTTCTTGATATTCTTACTATTTGGCTCATATATGTTATTTAAAGGCATGCCAATGGAATATGTATTTTTGCAGGCAAGAAAGGATTTGGTACACTGTTGGTCTGTATTGTTGAAGCAAAAAGTTGACTCCGCATATTGCTGTGTGGAGTACATTGAGAACCATTTGGAGTTACTAGACTTTCTTGTAGTTTGGTAAGTTTATGAATGCGTTGTCTCATTTATCTTTCTCCATGCCTTGTTTTTTTTTTTTTTTTGAGCTTTAAAATCACTAGAATATGTTGTCTATTACGTGCTTAAAAAAGAGGGCATAAAACTGGTTTAATGTGACTCTTTCTCTCTCTTCTCTATTTGTTGGGTTAAGAGTGGGTTGTTTATCTTTATAAGATGGCATTGACCAGTGTTTATACTGAAATGAGATGTACAAAATCATGTGTGCTATTTAATCATTAAAAGGTGTGTAAGACTTATTGCTATCTTTTGGAAGCAGCTATGATAACAAGGAAATTGCTTTAAATTGCGGAAATATGTTGAGGGAGTGCGTCAAATTTCCAACACTTGCACAGTAAGACATTCGAGCTTTATGCCTATTTCTTCATATGATTGAAGTACATTATAATGTGGCTAAAATAATGCTAGGGTTAAAAACATTACTTATATATCATCTAAATTTTGGCCATCTTTCCATGTTACCTTGATTGATATCATCAATTTCATTTGTATACTCATTTCTAACCATGGTTTTGGATGTCTAGCGTACACTAATTCTTATACATGAGGCTTTCTTGAGGTGAGGTAGCGCAGAAGCAGAACATGCATGAAATATGTTGGTTTAAGCTCAACATCCAGATATAACTTCAGTTCTTAGTAGACTAATTAATGATCACTTTCAATATCTTATGGTATTAACTTGAGACTTAGGTTCCTGGAGATAAACTCTTTTTAGGATTCTAAAATGGTATGTTTTAAAATATCAAGTGCAAAGCATATTATGAGGATTTTGAGTAAAAGAGCCTTGCATGCTGGGTAATTCAGGAACTGGGTAAGTTTAGAGGTTGGCACCCATTCTGTTTCAAAAGTGCTGGTTGCTGCTTTTATCGGATATCAAAATTTTAGCTGGTTGTGTTGATGAACTAGTACAAGTAAATTAAAGGAGGAAAAATTGGCCGCTAGGGCACTTTCTTCTTTTTATATACATGGTTTTTGTGCAAAATGTCTTTACTGAAAAGCAAGTTTCACTTTTTCACCAGTTATATTTTGTAGTGATTTTTCAGATACATATTAAAGTCTGCTAGCTTTGTATTGTTCTTCAAATTTGTGGAGTTGCCCAACTTTGATGTTGCTTCTGATGCATTTTCAACATTTAAGGTTAGATCTATTAGTTGTTAAGTCTTGCTGGTACTTTAGATTAAGTAAATACATTTTTAGGCTCCATGCTTTCTTCTTCTTATGCATCTTTCATTGAATTTTCTCAGGATCTGCTTACAAAACATGGAACATTGGTATCTGAATATTTGACTGCTCATTATGATGAGGTACATTAACAACCTGCCTATTCTCATATCTTTGTGACTCGGGACAGATCTAGGTGGAGCCTGATTTTGCTTTAAGACTGTTAGTGGAACTATGTTGATTGAATGTTTCAACCTAGAAGATCTGCTCAGCTAAATAATTTCTTTGAGAATGTTTTATATTGTTTGTAACCTTTTGGTAAGAGACATCAAGTGCTACCCCTGATTTTTTGTGTACTGCATGTTGCAGAGCTGTGAAGATATTTGTCTTTGTGATTTTGTTAAAATGTTCATCTTCCTTTTCTCTTTTACCTTATCTAATGAGAAAATGTTGTTCCAGTTCTTTGATCTATACGAAAAACTCTTGACATCTTCTAATTATGTGACAAGAAGGCAATCTTTAAAGGTTGGTTTTCCCACTCTCTCTCAGTTTTGCTCTGTTGCTTGGTAAGATGTCTTAATGCTGCTATATTTCTGGATTTAGCTTCTATCGGAATTTCTTTTGGAGCCTCCAAACTCCCATATAATGAAGCGCTACATTTTAGAAGTTCGGTATTTGAAAATCATGATGACATTGCTGAAGGTATGGCTTCTTCTTAGTGGTACCTTCTCTCGTTTCTGATTCTTTTGGTGTTAATTGGTTTGAATTATCCATTGGCAGCCATGATGTCTTGTTGAAATGGGTTCTGATTTACATTCCACAATCATACACTCTTGCATCTTCCACTGTCCACTATTGGGCATGAAGAGACATGAGAGATGAGTGATGCAAGGGTGAGAGGTGGTAGTGCTGGATGATATTTTTGTTTTATGGAAACTACTCAACTTATTAAATATTCTTTTGACCTTTCAACTTTGAGTGATGCAAGGGTGAGAGGTGGTAGTGCTGGATGATATTTATGTTTATGGAAACTACTTAACTTTTTAAATATTCTTTTGGCTTTTCAACTTTGAATGCATTGGACCTAGTGGAACCATTTGAGCATTCTGTTTTTACTTGTATGTCTGATAAAATTGTCTCTGTCTGATTCCTTGATACATCAAATATCTTAACTGTTGAGAACTTGTTTGAAATTGTCTATTGTATGATTTGACTTTTGTTTTTCTGCTCTATTTTGTGTCAAAGCAGGATGCAAGCAAAAACATTCAGATTTCTGCTTTCCATATCTTCAAGGTGTTTTTTCCCTCTCCCTCTCTCTCATTCACACACATAAACAGACATGCATGGACACATCTTTTTTGCTAGTCCCATTCCAGGGCTATCTGCAGGCAAGTGTATGTTCTGGCTTGAATTCTTAAGAATGTGTCTGTTGTAAATAAGTCTCAGGGCAATGTGATAAGTTAGTAATTAGACAAGAAAAGATGCCTGATGTTAGTCATGAGTTTGAAACTGATGGGATGGCACTTGTATGCACCAAATTGAACTTATTTGGTAAGTTTATCATACTAACATTGAGAGAAGAACTGAGTTGTTTCAAGCTAACCTCTGTTCAACTTGGCTGTGAAAGTTCCCAATGTCTCTTATCTCTTTCTCTCACTTCAATTGACCCTAAACTATGTCATAATAAATGGAAAATCCTTCACATCTTATGATGGTGATAAGATGTTGTCAACTGCTCAAAAGCTATTCATATATTAATGTTGAAGATAACATCTTCAGACTGAAATTTAGCCTTGGGCACATTATGCATAAGAGTATTTTTCCTGCTGCATTTTCAAAGCCAGTTGGTTCTTCTTGACATAAAATTACTTGGACTGTTGGATGCAAATTACTTATATAAACTAGATAAAAGGAAAAGGATTTTACTGTCTAATTGCTAGTATTGTTTGAATTTATTGTTTTTCTCCTTTGCTATCACATGCAGGTTTTTGTTGCTAATCCTAACAAACCAAGAGAAGTAAAGATTATTCTGGCAAAAAACCATGAGAAATTGCTGGATTTGCTTCACAATCTCTCAGGAAAAGGTACTTAATCTTTTGGCCATGCATTTTCTGAAAAAATGGCACCGGATACACGGCTGGGTTATAAATTTTCTATTTGAAAATTTGTTCAAATGGTTCTCATAAATGGAATTTTATTTTTCTTCCTGCTAATCTGTTAAGAAATAATTGTTGTCACAGGTGCTGAAGATGAGCAATTTGAAGAGGAAAAGGAACTAATTATTAAGGAAATTGAAAGAGTATCCAGGTTGCCAATTCTTGATCGCTAGGTACCTTCTCGTTGATATCTATTCTATTAAATGCTAATTCTGAGTGATGATCTTCCATGGTGTGGAAACTGTCTGCTAAGGATAGAAAGTTGCATTTAAGGATTATCTGAGCCCCTGGTTTTAGAGGATATATGAGAAATTGCAAGCCCTTGTAATATCTTGTTAGAAGTGTCTCTGGAAAGGATGGTATTGTTGTACAAGGTGTGAAGAAAATATAACTAGATTTGACTTCTAAGTGGCCAACAAAGGTGATTGTATGAGCATCTGCCCACTCATTGTGCTTTGGTATAATACCATGTAAGTGTTGTATGACCCGGTTCTGTAGCATAATTGAAGCATATTTCCCCTTAACAAGTAAAGGTTTGGTTTGTTAGTTCTTTGTCCTGGAATCCTGTGAACATTCTTCAGTGATTGAGCAACATGATGGAATTTGCTGTATTGTTGGTACTTGGACGCTAGCTATCTTTCTATGATACTAAAGCAAAGCTTCCCAAATGGAAGAACTTGACAGCCTGCCGTTTTTGAGGTAAGGGACTGTGAACCGTTGGCCACATCCAGAGCATTTGAAAGGATGGGGTTTGGTAACCCTTGATCTGGGCATCCAAAAGTTAAATTCAAGCTCATATTATTCATTTTCTCTGTTTGTTAATATACGAATTTGGGAGGAAAGATGATTCGAATCTGGGTTTTGGATATGAAGATACATACACTTACCAGAGAATTGATGTCGAAATCGAACTAAGGTTTATCTTGCACAACATAATGAGTAAGTTGATTTAAATTATTGGACTTCTGTATTTACCAAATCTAGTGTAAAGTGTACATGGTTGTATAATTTAAAACTACATGAGTTAATCATGTATCGAAACATTTGATTCATTAATACATATTTAATTTTTTTATTCAAAAAATAAAGTTTTAATTTTTTTAATTAAAAAAAAAACTACTTGAGTGAATAATAACAAACGAACAGCCTATCTCACTCATGCATGGATTTCTTAATCTTATCATCATTAATTCAATCACTACAAGACTTTTGTTTTATAGTTCTTAAATTTTAATTATCAACTTTGATTTTTAATATTCATGAAATTTCCATATCAAGACAAATATGTTTAAAATTTTGTATTTGATAGATTATCTTTATATGCATTTTATTTATTATTAATAAATTAAATGTTATCATTTTGTTAATAAAAAAATTTAAAAATGAAAAATTTCAAAAAATAAGTATTTATTTTGATTTGGAGGGTTAATATCATGCCATTTTCTTGATAAAAAAATAAAAACATAGTAAAATTAGTTATAATAATGTAATTAGAGACGTGATTAAAAGCAAATTCTTAGTAATATTAATAGTTCTACAAATTAAAAGCTGACGTGCTTTTTTTTTGTAAATGTGAAAGTTTTAAAAAATTGGAACCCCTCTCAAAATCGGTAATCCCTATCCCCTCGGACAGGCATGATCTGAGCTTCCCATGTGACCTAATTCCCAATTCTTCCCCAAAGCCTTCTCTCTCTCTCTCTCTCCCTATCCTTTCAAAAACCCTGATTTTGCATTAATATAAAAAGAGAAAGGAAAAAGGAGTTTTTTCTTCTGTTCTTCCGATTGAATTTGTGCAATCTCCATGGATATCTTCAAATCCGTGTTCTCCGACGATGCCCTATTCGAATCCTCCGAGCCACCCACTGACCCGAATCCGAATCCGGGATCGAGGTGGAGCTTCGGCGCCCTAATGAGAACCCTTGCCGACAAGTCGGAGTCCGTGATGGAATCATACCGGAAGGACTTGGAGGATTTTGGATCCGGGTTAAAGAAGGAGACCGAGATTATTCGGAGCGTAGCCTCAAGAGCCGTCAACGATTCCCTCGAGATCGGCGCCTCCGTTGCACAGGAAAAGCTCGAGTCGGTGGGACAGGCCATTGATGATATCGGTAGCTCGGTTTGGAAATCAACGGCTCAGATCATCTCTCATGGTAAAGACGCGTTCTTATCACTGTCCGACGATGATAATTCTGATTCTGAAAATGCCAATAATAAGAAATTGAATATTAGTAATAATAGCAGCAATGAAAAACGGTACAGTCGTTTTGAGATGCAAATTCGAGCGCTTCAATCCGATAGAAGTACTTATTGTGCGGAACCGGAGGATTTGGAGGATTTTGAGAAATGGAAATTAGGGTTTAATTTGGAAGAAAAGAAAGGGGAAATTGAGGATTTGTTTAAAGAAAATTCGGTTAATGAAGATATTTTCAAAGAGGTTGCTTCTGATGAAATCGAATCTAAGAGATATTGGAGTAATTATTTTTATAAGTTGAGTAGGCTAAGGAAAGCGGAGGAGGCGAGAGCTAAGCTTGTTAAACGTGCAATCTCGGGGGAGGAAGAGGAGGATTTGAGCTGGGATATTGATGAGGATGATGAAGAGGCGAGTGGAAATTCAGAGAGTGAGAAGAAGAATAATTTGAGTGAAGGTGGTGAGAAATGGTTGAAAAATGAGGAGGATAAAGCAGATTCGTGTAAGGATAGTGATGTTTCAGTAGTTTCAAGCAATCTATCAATGCCCGAGGAGGAAGGGTGGGATGAGATTGAGGAGATACGGAGCAGTGATGATAGTAAGGGGGAAGATGTTGGGAGTGGTAATAGGGTTGATCGGCAAAAGCGTAAGAGTGTTGCAGAGGAAGAGGAAGATTTGAGTTGGGATATTGATGATGAAGAGGAGGATCAGCCTGTTAAAGCTTGATTTGATATTGATATCTACAAAGGGATCAAAATCAAGTGTTAAATACTAGAATCATTGAGGTTCTTCTGAGCTGATTTTTTTTTAAAGATTTTATAGTTTAAGTATGATAAAAGATAATAAACATTGCAGTTCATTATGTAAATATTTCTCAGTGATTGGATTCAATTATATAACTCATTTTTTTCTTTGAATTTTCATAAATATAAATCAGTCTATGTGAAACATTCGCAGAATTGTGTCTTTCTGATTCAAAATAGTCAGTCTACATCTTGTATGTTTGATCTAAATATTTAAGAGTATGATTAATAAACAGTGAATATTGATACTTGATTTTCTTTCTCAAGTATGTTCTTCATAATTTCTGGTTTTTGTTAGATATTTTCAGTAGAGATGTCTAAGCTTTTTATTGTAGTTTCCTTTCTGCTGATAGAGATTAGCATGTTGTCAAATGAGACGGACTAATTCCAACAAACTCATTTCAATCTTATTGCCTTGCTCCTTGCTTCAGTCACTTGGATTCCAAATTATCTATATGTATCTTCTGGGCTTTCTTTCTACCACTACAGCGTTTGTCTGTAATTGGGGGAAATGATGGTGTGCTAAAATTATAATTTATAAAGTGCTTTGTTATCAGTTTGGTATGATCATTACCTTTGCCTTTTGTAGCGAAATTGACACTAGAGACCAATTTTGGTGCTTTTGGGATGTGTATCTGCAGGGCCATTCATCCTTGTTCCCTCTACCCCCTCCTCTTTGGCCTCTTCCATTGATCTTTGCTTTCATCTGGCGTAGCCTTATTGGCAAATATTTCTTTTTGTTCATTCATTTTCTCTCCTTCTTTGGCCACCATTTCCCCCCTGTATTCTCACGCGTTAACCAGTATGCTTTAGAGATAATGTTGTTTTGTTACAAGGCACACGAGATGCGGGGTACAACTTAATATTTGCTCAATTGGTGATTGCTCTACTTGTCTCATTAGGGGATGAGACCCTTTGCTTTCCCATTTGGCATGAATATGATTGTAGGCATGGTTCTCATTCCCTTTTAACTTCTTGGCCAACTGTTTGGTCCTAAGTCTCAAACGGCTCTCTGTTTCTTATATCTTTATGGTTCTTTGTTTACCATTCTTTCCATTACCCTTGAGGATGGAGGAGGGTGTGACGTGGGGGTGAACCGTTGATAAGCAGCCTGGAAAACCACCGGTTGGTATGGTCACATTGGTTGTGCTGAATGGCTCGCCCGCTTTGGGGTGGAGGGTTAGGTTGATCCGAGTCTCGGCCTAAGAGCAATAAAAGGGTGAAATGAAGGTTTTGGGGTACAAATAGTAAGGAGAGTAGAAGAAAATGAAAGTAGGAGAGGTTTATGCCAACTCAGTTGTTACTTGTTGACTATGAATTTATATTTTTACTCAACTCCCAATAAGAAAGACGAACACTTTAACTAGCTAACGTTTCTCCCTGATATGCCAACTCCCAATTTCAAGGATAAGCACATTCCAAGAAGCGGGGCATGAAAATAGCCCAAAGACAGATGCTGATCTGATGCAAAGCATGAAGGAAAGACTGCAGCCATTACAAAAATCTAGGAAGCTTGATTAGGCTCATTGCTAGACCGATTGACAATGACTAATATACAATCTCTACAAGGGCAAGCAATTCCCCAACTTAAGCAGCTTCATGAACAAAAATTATTAAATAATAATAATAAAAAAAGGAGACTGATATCAAACAAGAAGAGAAATGCAATAGTAAAGTTGGGATAATCCCAATTATGCAACCGCATATCACAAACTTAACAGGTTAGAAACTGCAAATTGGAGCAGCCAGCACTAGTGCTGGTACAAAACCACAAGAGAGAATATACTATATAGAAAATTAATACTTTTCCTATTCTTCACACAATAGTTCCATGGCCATATGATTTCTTGCCAATCTCACCTTGTGAGAAATACAGTACATCTAATTATCCCCAGATCTCAGCACCCGCAAAATGGAAATGAACAAATTCAGGATGTCCAAATAGAGAGCGACAGAGGCCAATATGTAATCATCATATGTGAAGCGCTTGATCAGGTTGTCAGTGTCATAGACTATGTATCCACAGAAAATCAAGGCACTAATTCCACCATAGATTGCAACAGATGTTGGGCCAAGTGGGAAGAACATCTGCATGATAATAAAACATATACCAAGTCAGATGAATCCTACATTTAAGTATTTGGAAGCACAAATAATCATATAGTGTTGAACTTCCAATTGCATAGGTAGACAACAGAGACATCTCACCTGGATTAGACCAGTTAGGATGAGGACAATAAGGCTGGTGAACAAAATTGGGCCAAGATAGCTGAAGTCCTTGCCCTTCTTAGATGCCCAGAAAGTGTAGCCAGTAAGAGATGTAACCACAGCTGCCGTCAAAATTAGAGCTTCAAGCACAATTCTTCCTGAAATCATACAATGAAAGCAAATAGTTAGAGTATAATTCTATATTTATACCTAAACCTAGGATTTGTTAACAGAAAACATCAGGTAAGCACTAACCATCAGTATTAGCGCAGCTCACACCAACTGTGAGACTCAGTGACACAGTGAAGAGGCCAAGGATGATCAAGTTCACAGGGTGCTTTTGGTGATAGACGTGCAAGGGCCACAACACTGCATGAATTAAGTTTTATAGTTATAATAAGGCAAAGCAGTGTGACACAACAAATGAAGCATGTCTCCTTCAGATATAAGTAAATGCTTGGGAGAAAAGGAGGCCTTTATAATTCAAGCTAGTAGATTACAAATAAAGTCAGGGAGTTCTTACCTTGTCTGCTTTTAACCATTTTAAAAGAAAGATATGTTTTATTCAGGTTTAATATCAATCTGAAAATAGGGTTGAGGGAAAATATGACTTCAATGACTACTGAGAATCTGACACCAATCTCACCAAACTTATCAGCATTCAAATAAAGCAAATCTAGGTCATTATAAGAGGTATACGGTATCAAATTTTAAGTTCTAAGTTTACAAAAATTATAGGTCATGAAAACTATTAACTTCCAAATATTTAAACCCAAACAACAAGAAATGTAAATTAGTAAAAGTTGCAAGAAAGCTCAATGGTTAGTCATTTGCCATTGATCACAATAATTATTGGTACCAACTGCAGTGCAAAAGCCAGTAAACAGTTTCAAACAAAGGTAAAGTTATTATGGGAAAACAACAAAGTAAACAAAACTCACACAAAAGCAATTGGCTATTGCTAATATGCTTTCCTTTATTTACTTTGGTTTCAAAGTCTTAACTCTCTACTTCTCTTTATCATATTCCGACATACAAATCATCAAAGCCTCCAGCATTAGTTTCTGTTACGAATAGTGCACACCACTTTATTTAAAAACTCAACATTACAAATTAAATGACACAAAAAGAGACAGCAATAAGTCCTAAAACTATAAATTACCTATGAAAAGCATCCGAATAAAGCAGCAAACAGATAGAATCAATATACAGTGACAATGGCAGAAAACTGTCCAATCCTTATTTAAGCCCTACAGTTAAGAATCTTTGCTACACATAAATCCCATCAACCCTTTCTTCAAAAGATTCTCTATTTTCTTGTAAAGGCATCATATAGATCAATTAAATTTTATCACCATTTTATATAAATTCAATAACCCAGCTTTGCTCATCCATCGAAACCCTGATTATAGAGATGGATTTAATCTAACCCTAACCCAATGCTTGAAAAAGATTAATTCAATCTAACCTTAACCTAATGCTTGAAAATAATTACCTTCATAATAAAAATTGAAAAAATTTTGCTCTAATTCACATATCATAGTATTTAAGGGAACCCTAACAAACATTTCTTTCAAAAAAATTTAGAATTTACCCGGATTAAAGTGCGTGAAAAAAAAATCAAAATTGAAATCAAATTGAAGAAAAAAGGAAAGGAATTTACAGATGAAGGGGATTAAACAGAGGAAGAGTAAGAGGCCAGAATTTCCGCGAAGGAGCTCGTTGACCGGAGCCGACAACACCACAAAGGCGGAGACCACGGTGGTGAGAACCAGCTGTGCCGCCAGGATGCCGTAAACCTTGCGGATAAAGCCCCATCGCAACTGGTTCTCGCCGTAGCTGATTCCCGGGTAAAGAGTCTCCCCTGACTCTAGATCTATCTGATCCGCCTTGCTGGCGCCCTTGCTGTTCACGCGCTCGTATCCGTCCATCTTCTTCTCTCTGTTTCTTTTTTCCTTCTCTTGTTTTCTCGGAAAATGAGACGGGAAGAGCGTCAACGAACCGGGGGAACACATATATAGAGAGGTAGGTGGCCAATCAAATGGTTGGTAAGGTGCGGTCCACGCGTTATGAAGGGACTTGATGATCAATCATCAAATGTTTACTTTAATTTGATTGGCAATTTTAACTTTTTTAGATTTTTTCAATTTGACCTTTATCTTTTTGTTGGAGTCATCCAATTAAAAAAACAAAACTTTAAATTATGATAATTAGTAATAACATTTAGTTTGGTATAATGTTTGAAAATCTATTAAATTATTTAAAAAAATTTAAATAATTTTTTATTATATTTAATTAATTTCTAAATTAATTAATATTAATTAAAATATTATTTTATTATTTTATAGCACTTGACGTTGATATAAAAAATCAATACATTTTGATGTCATCATTTATTATGATAAGTTAGTATGTTATGTGACATATTATAATAAATAACATAATATGGTAAAAATAAATTAATTGATTTTAATTTTTTTAAATAATTTAATTTTTTTTTAAGTATTATGCGTTTCTCTTTTATTTCCAATGAGGAAAAATAGGAGAAATTTACAATTGAGAGAAGGGTTTTTCAATTAGAAATTGAGTTGATTTTAACAACTCAAACTAAAGGATCATCTCCCATGGGTGAAGTTTCATAGAAGTGGGGAAATTGAAACTTCAAAGTTGCACCTGGACATACTCAGAAGTCCAATACCATAATTTCTCAGAAAATCCATGGATAAAATTTCTGCAAATTTGTAAGCAAAAACCCTTTGAAATGTCAACACTAAGTTCAAAATTTTGGCATATTTATTCAATGAAAGGAAAAGGATGATCAAAGAGACTACATTAAGACATTCAACAATGGAAGCATGTTTCTCATCAATGAGGCAAAATAATAACTGGTATAAAGTTTTCAGAGTTGTTGGCGGAGAAACAATGTAATCAAATGAAGAGCTTGCTGAAAATGAGAGAGACTCATGGTTGACTTCTATTACATGCTAAAATTCGCAATTTTAAAATCAAATGAAGGGCAAAGTATGTTAGATGTAGATATATGCAGATAAGCTTCAGATCGATCGAATGTCATCCATCGGACAGCATTTTGCTGTTCTACAATATATGCAAGTTTCAACTCATTCAACATTAACATTCATCTCATTAGTCGGTTGTCATAAAAAGTGAAAATCACTGCAATGTTCGTCTCGAGATGATCTAAAGATACCCAAAGCAATCAAAAGAACATGCATCGATTATCTTTGTTAGTTCATCATAGATATGTTACAAAAAGAATTACTGGAAAAGCTTTGCTTAATTTATTTCTAGGACCTCTCCTAAACATGATTCAACAAAATGGGCATTTCCTTCACAAAACTTGGTAACGAGGGAATGGCATATGCCATTTCTAAGTGCATAACCTATTCTAAGCATAAAATCCAAAACAAGTAAAGAATCATCTAACCTATCACTTTGTGAGAGACACTGAACCAGTTTCTCAAAAGTCTCCCTTCGTGGTTTGAGTCTATTCTTCAGCATTTCTACCAACCGTTCCATCCCCTCTGCAACATTTCCTTGCTCACACAATCCAGCAATGACATGATCATGCGTACAGACTATTGGTTCTAGACCCCTAGTTTGCATATCATTCAACAAATCTTTGGCTTCTTGCATGTGACCCACCTGACATAGATTTTTTATTATAGGGGTATAAGAGGGAGTAGACGGCTGTAAACCCTGTACTGAGAGTTCCTTCAGAAGACTTAGACTCTCAACAGTTTTCCCTTCCATGCAAAAGCCCTTGATCAGAGTGTTGAATGTGATTAAATCACGAACAATGCCCTTTTTAGGCATTTCTTCAAATAAATGATAAGCCTCATCCATCCTTCCATGCCAACAAAACCCTGCTATCATGGTATTGTAACTCACAGTGATTTCTCCGTAGCCTTTGTCCAGCATCTCCTTAAATAGCTTTTCTGCCTCTTTGAGGTCATGGACCTTGTAAAGCCCATGAAGAAGTGCATTATAAGTGTATTCATTTGGGAGCATTCCCTTATTAATCATCTCAAACCACAATTTTCTAGCATCCCCAAGCCACTCCATCTTACATAGACCATGAATCATTGTTGTATACATGACCCTGTCTGGAGCATACCCTCTATCCTTGAGATCATTGAAAATCCTGTAACCCTCCAGGCACTTTCTCTTCTTACAGAGTCCATTAATGACTTCCTGATATGTATAAATATCCGGAGCACGATTCCTAGCTATCATCGTGTGAAGAAGTTCAGATACTCTACCATAATTCCTTGTCTTGCAGAATCCAGCAATCAATTTGTTAAAAGCAACATTATCTGGCAGCAACCCATCTTCCAAAACCTGTCGAAGAAGCTCATAACCTTTCGAAGCATTCCCATCATTACAAAAGGCTTGAATCAGACACCCAACAGTTGCAACATCAATATCCACCACAACACCTGAATCTATCATATCCTGATACAATTTCCACACAAAATCATTCCTGCCAACCTTAAGAAAAGCCAGCAATGCTAAATTCCACGTTGCTACTGATGGATGATATCCAATCTTATTCAACATGGAAAACACCTCAACTGCTTCTTCGACCAATCCAACCTCACAAAGACATCTTAAGTAAAGCTCTAAAGCACGCGGCTCAGGGCTAAAACCAGTCTGTTCAAGAAAATTTCTTGCTGCTTTACAGGCCTTAGCCTCCACAAGCTTATCAAAAAGCACATTACAGGAATCAAGGTCAGGTGAAAAACCATATTTAGACCGCAGCCAGTGAAAGAAACACAGAGAGAAAAACACATTTTCTTGCTGTCTCAAAAGCTCCCGAAAAAACACAGGATCCGAAAAATTAAAAGAAGGGAACTTTGAGAGCAGAGTTTCCTCCCACCTGGGTATTGTTCTAGTAATCTTGCAAACTTGCTTTACAAGGTCTAAATTTGGTTGGTTTATAGTCTCATCCGTTTCTCTACTTTGGTTTTGATTTTCTCTCAATTCCTTCGCAATAAAGTTGGTTTCTTTGGAATCTACAGTCAGATTTCTGATCTGGGTATTAGGGCTTTGGAGTCTACGAGGGCTTTGCCTAAGTAAGGTTATTAGGAATGATGAAGCTCTGGCCATGGAATATTAGTTTTTTCACTAATTTACATTAATGGGTATTTTCCATTTAAGGCAAAAATGGAAGATTTAAGGTAAACAACTGAATAGGTATCTAGAAGAATCAGAATGGAACTTACTGAGCTATTGGATTTGGAATTCCATGTAGAGACATTGGAAGATGAAATCGTATCCAGCGAGAGAATTACTGTGCATAGATTGAGAGTGAATTCAACTGCTGTTATTGTCAGTTTGAAAAGAGCTGAGAACAACACAGAGAGAGACTGCGGAGCTTTGTGGCTGAAGCTCTGTTCCTCTGCCTGGTGTGGTGGCCTTCTCCCTGTTTTTTTAGTAAATTTAATTAATCAATTTTCATGAAATATAACATAAAGTTTAAATTTCATGCATTATTTGTGAATAAATTTTATATATTATAAGTGAACTAAATATGATTTTTTATTAGTAAACAATTTTAAAAATTGAAAATTTTAAATAAATAAATATTTATTTTAAAAAGTTAAACTTTTTTTTTGCATGTTTATGATATCACACTATTAAGTGTTAACATGTAAAGACGTAATATTTCAAATATAAATTCATATTTAATATATTATTTGGGTAAAAATATTTATAAATGAATTAAATATTATTATTTTATTAATTAAAAAAATTTAAAAATTAAA